AAAAAATTAGATTTTTATTTTTATTTTATTTTAATAAATGTCCTAATAGAACATAAATTTTGTTATAAATATTAAAATATTTGATATTCTATATTTGATTGAAGTATTTTTTATCTAAGTATAATATTTTAAATTTGAAGGATCTCAATATTACATATTTATAAACTTTAGACGGTTTGAGTGTAATTTATTAACGGATATAGAAACGGACATTGATGACCGAGTCTAAATGTTAAGCATGTACAAACTTTAGAGGATTTGTGTATAATATTTTAAATTTTAAGGAATCTGAGTAATTAAGTGATAATTTTTGGGGTCTATATGTAATTCTCCCAAAAATATATTAAAGTAACAAAATCAATATCGACAAACTAACAACTTCACTGCGATCACGCGGAAATTTCGTGCAGTCAAGGAGAGCGCCACGGTGTGAATCCAAAACGAAAGCCTTGGAAATTGTACAAAGTCCAGACAAGCGATCAGTCTTCACTTCTCCGCAACTAATTCGTTTTCTTCACCCTGACTCTATTAACAGCGCCTAGGTTGGCTCTCATACTTCTCTTCTCTCTTTCTCACGCACACACAACGAATTGAATCAGTAGAAGCTGCGAATCAGGTTGCATATCAAGTATCTCTATCTCCTACTTTGTTGAGGCACAAGATCTTCCTAAAACTTTCAAATTGTTGCAATTGCAAGGATTCCATCCTAGGGTTTGGTATTTCATCATCTCTCTTATGTGTATATATTACGTGCTTATTTGTATATACACGTGAAATTCTGTTGTCATATCTGCAGAGACTTGAACTATTTATCTGAATTTTGCTTTCATCAGTGTTATAGCTCCAGTTAAAACCGTTAACTTATGTGAGAGAAAGACAATAGAATGTTTTACTTATTGGTGGGTGACCGAGGTAATTTACAAAAAGAAACATGTTTTAATCAAAAAAAGGGCAGTACCAGAATATATGTCATGATGGTTGTACCAATCTCCATATTTATACACTTGGTGAAATGAAAGGTAAAGTAAATACATTCCTAACCGCTCCAAATCTTCTAAATTTAAAAACGAGCAGGACTAAGAGTGAGTATCTTTATGAAGATGATATTGTGAAAGATCTTATACTACCTGCAGTCCTTGATTTCATGTATTTGTGGGCTGATGCTAATTTGTCTTTGTCCTTGTTTAAAAGATGTTAACATCGTCTTTATGTTCAGTGAAGGAAAATGCAAAGAATTGATTAAGGCTCTCAGGGATCACGATGGGGTTGCATTCTCTTTGTATTCTCCACGTTTGGAGACCAGTTACAATTAGTTGGTTTTGGATTTTCGTATTATTAATTCCACAGCATGGTAGAGGAGTACTTTCCACTTCCAATTACTTGATTGGTACTGGAAGTTATGACATTACGGGGCCAGCAGCTGATGTCAACATGATGGGCTATGCTAACATGGATCAGATTGCGTCTGGCATCCACTTTAGGTTGCGAGCTCGAGCATTTATTGTGGCAGAGCCACAGGGGAACCGGGTGGTATTTGTGAATCTCGATGCTTGCATGGCCTCACAACTTGTGACAATTAAAGTGCTAGAGAGATTGAAGGCAAGGTAGTTTTGACTGCTCATAAAATTTCATTTTCTTTATAGTCAATTGGAGTCTAGGTCGAAGAAGCACTGCCTTTTTGGTGCATTAACTCATTTGCTATTGGAGAATACTATGAAAAATGTGCTTAGTGCAGTGGAAATGAAAATTTTACTTGCTTATATTTTTTTTGATTTATTTTGACTTGAGTGTTATCAATCATCTAGCTATTTATTGGAAATATTATCTTGTATTTATTGTTAGGTTTGGGGACTTGTATACTGAGAAGAATGTTGCTATTAGTGGGATACATACCCATGCCGGCCCTGGGGGTTATCTCCAGTATATTGTGTATATTGTTACATCACTTGGATTTGTACGTCAGTCATTTGATGTTCTTGTTGATGGCATCGAGCAGAGCATCATACAAGCTCATGAAAACCTCCGGCCAGGGTCAATTTTTGTGAATAAAGGTAATGGAATGGACGCATGATTCTTACTACATTACTTTTCTAGATTTTTACATGATGAAATGCTTTACTGCCTAAGGTCAATTTACCTCTTTGAGCTCAATAAATTTTTTCAATTATACTTGCTTTCGCTGAAAAAGTGATAGGAAGTGATTGACTTGTTTAGTTGTTGCTTTGCTTTGTGGAACTCTTTTATCTGGAGGAGTACATTAAGTTGAAAATACTTCGTCTGATGAGTAAGTTGAAAGTACATGAATCAATGAACTGTTCACTGCTTTACTGCCCCCTTCCCAATGTTTTCATTTTTCTCATGGCTATGGAATTTAGAACTTCTGAAGCTCTTTTTCTGTGGCCTTGAAGTTCTGTCTTGGAAAATATTGGTCACATGGGTGGAGTAAGGAGTTTATTCTTGGAATAAGGATGACATCAGATCGTAGAAATCTTAGCTGTAGAATGGTGTGCAGCTCTTGAACTCTACTCTAGGCTTGCACCCACTAGAGGCTCAAAGTGCTTTTAAGACCAAACTTGTTTTTTTTACTTTATGAGATAATTATGTCTTTCTATCCATGCCATTCTCTTCATCTCAAAATGGAGAGCTCGGTAGAGTCAGCATTGATCATCTGGAAACAAATTCTGAATTAGTTTGTGGATGTGCCATGTTTTAGGTATGTACTCATTTTTTATGTAGCAAAATTATTGTAGGGTGAGCATCTTATATACAAACTAATGTTGTATTTTTTATATCTTGCCACTTTCCTCTTGTTCCAACTTGTGTAGATTTGTTTCTGGTTAATATGTCATGTGTTATGTGTGTGGATTTGTTTGATTAATTAGCTATTTTTGGGCTTCCAACTGACAGGAGAGCTTTTAGATGCTGGTGTAAACCGCAGTCCTAGTGCTTATCTCAACAATCCTGCAGCAGAACGCAGCAAATACAAGTATGATGTTGATAAAGAAATGACTCTTCTGAAGTTTGTTGATGATGAATGGGGTCCAGTGGGCAGCTTTAACTGGTTTGCAACTCATGGAACTTCTATGAGTCGTACAAACTCGTTGATAAGTGGGGACAACAAAGGGGCTGCTGCACGATTTATGGAAGACTGGTTTGATCAGAATGGTGTTAGAAGTGTCCAGCCTGATGAATCTGAAGCTAGAGGAATTCCCCGTAGAATCTCAAACATAATTCCTGGATTTCATGGAAATCGTAAGTCAATAGCCTCTTACACTTCAACTGCAGGACATCGTTTTGAAAATTAAATATTTGCCAGTTATATTGTCTAATTATTTATTGGCCACATATTTAAAACAATTATAATTTGATTTCTACAAGCTCATTCTCTCCTTGAAGCTACGTGTGTCGGCAAGTGTCTATATGTTTTTATCCTTCTAAATCCCCAAGCATACTGTGCGTCTGTGACTTCTGAGAAATAAGGTGTCAGGGGATAGAGTCTATGTTGTTGACGGGTTGTATCGTGGCCTGTTAAATTAGTTCATTTGATGCTGGTAATTGGCAGTTAAATAATTTAAGAGTAATAGGTGGAAATATTTCATTATCAGTGTCTGTGCAGCAATCAACCTCGTAGCCTTTTCTAGGTTGGATTTTTCTCAGTATGCGGCCTAATTTCAAGATCAAGCTTGATAATGGCACTTGTATTAGTGGATACACAACTTTTTCTAATTTGAACTGTAAAAAAGTTGTATGCACTGCACCAGGTTGCCACTTATAGCGGGAGCACCTTACCCTTTGTTTGGAGAGGCTAATTCCTGGATTTGATCACGCTACATATGGCTTGGGCAGATGAGTATTTGCCACCACTGAAAGTCTGACCTCTAGCTTGAATCATGTGAAAATTTACTGTCTAAATTGTATTTTATGATCAGAATATTCCGGAAAGTGTGATGAGCTTTGTAACCAATAAATTTAAGTTGTGTTTTCTGTGGTTTTGCCAAATGATAACTTCCGTACCAATTCGATCGATCCAGAACAGATCGGTTAAACATTCTATTAGGGAGCCTGGTCTTGACTGTTCTGTGTGGTATTCATTCTCATTCAGCTCTTGGAATCATATTTGTTTGCTCAATTGTCTGGGAGTCTGTTTGTTCAATCCACAAGTTCTGTCTGCTGCAAAGTAACGTTCTATTATGTGTTGTCGAGCCATTCATTTGCAATAAATGTATGATAAATATGTGAATTCATCTTTATTCAACAAAGATAATAACATATGACTGCAAAGTCAAATATTATTACCACAAAGGCTACTGTAATTAACTATCATGAATACAAAAAAGAAAGGAATGGAAAAAAGGAAGAAAACTTTCGTTAATATCTCAGACAGATTTCATTAACATAGAGTGGATACTCTTCTGGATTGCATACCCAGCCTGAATTCATGTTTTAAATTGACATAGATAGGACATGGCTCAAAGGATCCTATGGAATAGAGGCATAGCATCAAGGGTATTATCTGGATTGATGGGCAGAATGATAAAGAAAATGTAACTTGTTAAAATTTTGGATGTCCTTAAAATGCAGATCACGAGTTGTTGGAAGTTGCTGCTGCTTTCCGGTCTCCTCCTGGTAAACCAGCAACCAGGCTTTTGAGTGTGGCAAGGCGTGTCAGAAGTGCTCTTAGGATGGCTGATAGACCTAGATTTGTATCTGCATTTTGTCAAACCAACTGTGGTGATGTTAGTCCAAATGTGCTTGGCGCATTCTGCTTAGATACTGGGTTATCTTGTGACTTCAATCATAGTACTTGTGGTGGGAAGAATGAGTTGTGCTATGGCCGAGGACCTGGGTATGCAATCTTCTGCATACTGAGATTTTCTGGTACAAAACATAGATGTACGTGATACTAACAATCTCATGCTCACTTAACAGGCACCCAGATGAATATGAAAGCACTCAGATCATTGGAGACAGACAAATGAAAAAAGCTGTGGATCTTTTTAACACAGCAGCTGAGCAAATAAATGGGAAAGTTGATTATCGTCACATCTATTTGGATTTCTCCAAGCTTCAGGTGACAATTCCTAAACCAGGAGGAGGTAGTGAGTCGGTCAAAACATGCCCCGCTGCAATGGGGTTTGCATTTGCTGCTGGAACAACTGATGGACCTGGAGCTTTTGATTTCAAGCAAGGAGATGACAGTGTAATGACAAAATTCAATACGTTAACAATTCTCGGGACTTATCAATCCCACAAAATTTTCATTGTTATAAGTTTTTTATACTTCAGGGGAATGCATTTTGGAGATTGGTGCGCAATGTGCTGAAAGCGCCAAGCAAGGAGCAAACTGATTGTCAACATCCAAAGCCTATCCTGCTTGATACTGGTGAAATGAAGGAGCCGTATGAGTGGGCGGTGCGTTGCTATCATCTTAAAAAGTCAAAAACAAGTTTCTTTATTTCTCCTTTAAATAGATTCTTCTATTTCTAAGCTTTCATTGATGCATGCAATAGATGTAAGATCATTTGTGTCCTTACTTCTCGCCCAAAGGCAACCCCAATTATGGTGGGAATTTTGAGTAAGTAACTTTAACTCCATGTCAAAGGATCCTGGAGGTAGGACAATATTTCTGCATTGCTAAAGTGTATATATATATTGGAACTTTAAGAATCATCCTAAAACTAATGTTGGAAAAAAAGAAAAATTCTAGGGTGCTTGTGGTTTCTGGTAACTGTGGATAAGAATAATACTTTATTAATGGTATCTTTATGATGTGGAACTCGTGCCATATAATAAATGCAATAGCACCTTATGGCTTTTCCTAAGGAGCATTAACAACTGATTGGAAGACTGGCCTGATAATATGCCATTTCATGTATGCCTAGAAGATATCAGTAGTCATGATGCGTCAATTTCTGTGAATGGCAATGGAGTTCAAGGTGTAATTTATGCTATTAGCAGTCTCAATCTTTTTCCTTTTCTTTTCCCCCGTCCTCCCAAAAATAAAAGATAAAAACAGCTGAAAACACCCTCCTTGGAAATTTTCAATTCCAGATTGCATTTAATTTGTGAATTAGTTGTATTGTGCATAGTTCAGAACACCATCCAGTCTATAGATAATTGCAGACACATATGTTGATGCTATCACTTACAGAACATTTTTTTGGCTATGTTTTTCTGATAAGAAGCAATACTTCACATTTTTCCTGCAATTTCAGCCTTCAGTACTTCCAATTCAGATCCTAAGAATAGGGCAGCTGGTCATTCTCAGTGTACCCGGAGGTAATACCTTTGCTTGTTTATTCTCTTTCTATCAGGCAAAACATATTTCACTATAATCACTAGAAAGACAATCTTTTAAGCTCATTAAAAGGACAGCCCTTGTTGATAGCAAACTCTCTTGATTTTAAACCAAGACTTCTCCTGTGGTTGTCTTAAAGTTTCCCTGTAGCGCTTAAGGCATTTCTTTATGTATCCCATACTCCATGAAATTAATTGTTTTTTTTTATAACAGAATTCACAACGATGGCTGGTAGACGTCTCCGTGATGCTGTGAAAACAGTGCTCACAAGTGGAGGAAGAGGAGAATTCAACAAAAATGTTCATGTTGTGATAGCTGGGTTGACCAATACATATTCACAATATGTGACTACTTTTGAGGAGTATCAGATCCAGAGATATGAGGTCAGTTGAATATAGCGAATGAGGATGACAAATAATGTGTGGATCACAATCTATATTGAATTAGAGTTGTAAAATAGATACATATATATACTTGAAGAAGGTTGAAGTTATCAACTGAAAGTTCATTGAGGGCATATACATGTGTTTTGGGTAAACTTTGAAATACCATGGAAATTATGGGTTCTGAGTCTGCAAGAAATCTTCCTATTTGTTCAGTGGTAAGTCTAATGGCAGTAACTATAATTTTTAAGCAATATAAAGGATGCTATTGCTAAAAGTTTAAGTAGTTTGAGAAAAGTAAATACTATTCATCTGATGGCTTTTGAGTTAAGCAATTTTTACTAACTGCCTGACTTGTCTTCAGAGAGAGTTTTTTCTTTGAACTCGTGTACTATTTGCAGCTGTGACGTTCTCCAATAGGCTAACTTTATATCTGTGAACCTTGAAGTTGCCTTGCTGTGTACAGTATTTATATGGTGAACTAATGTGACCTCATTGTCTATATCTGTCTTTTTTTGGACTTCATTGTCTAAATCTGTTATCCTTCTTGGTCTTCAATGTTTATATATTGACTCTCTACTTTTTCTGGACGTATGGTGTTTTGGTAAGTTGGACATATTGTTTATAGTGGTCAAATAATACAGAAATAGTAGTTAATGAGGGTGGAATATTTTCTGAATACTGGAATAGTACAGTTAATTTTTAATTTTTTATAGCAATCTCTCAAGTTGGTATAATTCTTTGCAGGGTGCCTCTACACTATATGGTCCACATACACTCGGTGCCTACATTCAGGAGTTCAAGAAGCTCGCAACTGCTCTTGTAAGTGGCCAATCCGTTGAACCAGGCCCACAACCCCCAGATCTGCTGAACAAGCAAATTAGCTTACTAACACCTGTTGTGATGGATGCGACGCCACTCGGTGTAAATTTTGGGGATGTCAGCACTGATGTACCTCAAAACTCCACCTTCAGGCGAGGTAACTTGGTGACGGTTGTTTTCTGGTCGGCTTGCCCAAGAAATGACCTCATGACAGAAGGTACGTTCGCTCTTGTGGAGATTCTCCAGGGAAAGGACTCTTGGATCCCAACTTATGATGACGATGATTTCTGCCTCCGTTTCAAGTGGTCAAGACCTGCCAAATTCAGTACTAGAAGTCATGCAACACTAGAATGGAGAATCCCAGAATCTGCTGCTCCAGGTGTATACAGAGTAAGGCATTTTGGCGCCTCAAAGGGTCTTCTGGGGTCCATTCGCCATTTTACTGGTTCATCCAGTGCTTTCGTGGTAGCTTAAGAAAGCCTGTGATGTTTGTCCATGTCTGTGCATCTGAGCTGCTGCTATGTAATTAAAGCCTGTGATGTTTGTCCATGTCTATGCATCTGAGCTGTTGTTATTGAATATATCTGGGTTTAGACCTCATGAAATTGAAAGAGGAATATGGAAATAAAGAAAGCTCATGCCGTGAAAAGATGGAATGTCTTGTAACACACATACATTAACGATGTTGAGGATGACTGATAAATTCGCAAGCTCATGTTGTGAAAAGATGGAATGTTCTGTAACTTATATGTATATTATAGATGTTGAGGATGACTGATGAATTGGCTGCAGGAGACATCTATCGAAACCCAAGAAAGATCCGCAACCAACCAAACCAAACCCTGAGGTACACTACCAGTTTCAAACAATACAGAACTATAAAGCCACAATACAGCCAGTCAGCCACCTGAGGTCTTCTTGTTAACTTCATAAAGAGAGAATCAGTCAGTTTCAAAACTCAACAAAACATGACCCTTAAAGCGAATATATGGCAAAACCCATTCTTGCACAATCTGGAGCTATATAGGCTGTTGTTGAGGGGTTTTGCCAACAATGCTTGAACCCACCCTTGACTAGTTTGAGTTTGTGTTCAAGCTTAAAGCCGTGCTCAATTTAAATTTGGTTTATTTTTATATCTATATAATAAAGTACAACATAAAAAATAATTTTTACTTTACATGGTTAAGATCCTTTTAAATTTTACTTTAGAGTTAATTCGACGACTAATATTAATTTCTCAAATTTAATAGGAAAAATTGCCTCTAGAAGTGTGTTTGAGGTGTCTTTTCAAAAGTGTTTATAAAACTTATAATTTCTTATAAACACTTAAAAAAAAGTAATGTTTGAAATAATTTATTTTAATTACTTTCAAATAAGTCAAAAGTAATTTTACCATTAAAATAAATAAAAAATAACTTTTACTTCTTTAAAATCATTTATGTATAAAACACTTCACGACTACAACTGTTGTCACCACCCCACCACCACCTACCGCCACCCACTACCACAACTCACCATTACCTATCGTCGCCCATCACTGTTGTCACCCACTGTCATTCACCCCCACCACGTCATTCGCCACAATTGTTGCCCACAAGAACTTGTCCTCATCCACCACCACCATCGTCATCGGCCACCATCACAACTTGCCACCGTCGTTTCCCCACCACCACTATTGTCAACCACCATCACCCACACCCATCATCACCATCGTCGTTGCCATCGTTATCACTCATAGTTTTCACTATCATCATTGTCACTCAAAAGCCACAACCACCTTTCACCACCCACGGCTGCTACCACCACCACAATCGTTGTTGCCCACCAAAACCATCACTGTCTCACATTACCATCACTGCCACTGCCACCCACGACCACTATCACCACTTACCCACATTCCAACTAATGCTTAAATTCTTTTAGCTTTACTTTATATTTGTGATTTGATTTTGAGTGTAAATGCAAGTATACTAATGATTGATAATTTTTTTTATTACTTAATACCTTCATGTACGAGTAATAATTAGTAACGTTATATAAGTAATTGCAAGTTAACATGCTAAACTTGGTTAACTTATTTGTCAAACGAGATTTAAAATTAAGTTTCAAATTATTTAGTTTTCCAAAAAGAATACATTCAAATGAAGTTTAATCATAGACGATCTAAAATTATTCATAAACAATGAGGTTGATTTGCATCATATACCAAACAATAGCAAACCTAAAAAACAACCAAAAAGCAAAAAAAAAAAAAAAAAAAAAGGGAAAGAAAATATACAATTGAACCTAAAAGCAGTACAATAATATATAGTGAGAATTACACCTAGACTCCCCAAAATTTGTCACTTAATCACTTAGATCATTTAAAATTTATACATGTATAACACTTAGACCATGCTGTAAATATATCCGTGAATAAATTACACTTAGACTCTCCTAAAATTTGTGGTTATATAATACTTAGGCCCTTTAAGTTTAAAATATTATACTTACACCAAAAATACTCCAATCAAATATAAAATATAAAATATTTTAAATTTTACAACCAAAATTTATGTTCTATTGTATTATTTATTGAAATAAAATTAAAATTAAAAATTTAATTTGTTCTTAAAAAAATCTTAATTAGTATACGATTATATTATTTATTAGAATAAAACTAAAAAAAAATCAAAAAATGGGTCTAAGTTATTCATAGTAGAACATGAATTTTACATCCAAAATTCATGTTCTATTATGTCATTTATTGAAATAAAATCAAAAATAAAATTTTATTTTTTTAAAAAAAACAACATAGTTAGTATCCAAAATTCATGTTCTACTATGTCATTTATTGAAATAAAATCAAAAATAAAATTTTATTTAAAAAAAAAAAAACATAGTTAGTATATATTTATACCGTCTATTAGAACAAAACTAAAAAATTAAACAAGGAATCAAACTGTAATAGACATAATATCTTTTAGATTTAATTAGGGTAGTTTGCTATTTTAATTTGGTTGTTTAAATGATTAAATTAAAATTCTAAAAGACAATATAATTATATACTAATTACAATTTTTTAAGAAAAAATTGAATTTTTGTTTTTGAATTTATTTCAATAAATGATATAATAAAACATAAATTTTGGTTGTAAAATTTAAAATATTTGATATTTGATATTTGATTGAAGTATTTTTAGTCTAAATATAATATTTTAAACTTAAAAGATTAAAGTATTATATACCTACAAACTTTAAGGGAGTCTAAATATAATTTATTAACGAATATATTTATACCTGGAATCGAAGTGTTACACATATAAATCTTTAAGAAATTTGTATGTAATATTTCAAATTTCGGGCAATCTAAATAATTAAGTGATTTGGGTGTAATTTCTCCCTCCAATATATAAGAATAAGAAGGCCTTAAACGAGGCTGACGCTGAGTGGGGCTTTTATTCTGAGTAGTTACCAGCAATCTCTACCCAGACTTACGCAAGCATAGAAGACACTTTCAATTACTTGTGAGTGGGAATTCAATTTCAATCTCTAGGTATTTATAGGAGGAAGAAGCTCAGACTACCAGTATTCAGAAGAAGAAAATGTCGGTGCAGGAGTACCTCGACAAACACATGCTCTCTCGGAAAATCGAAGACGCCGTCAATGCCGCCGTTAGGGCCAAGACTCCTGATCCTGTTCTCTTCATCGTCAGCTCTCTCTCTGATTCCGTTTTGTTTGTTGATTCTTCGATTTTTTCGGAATAAGAGTAGTATTTATGTTTGCGTACATACTCGTTTGTATGCAGTCTAATCATATGAGGAAAGCCGTTTCTTCGGTGATAACCAAGCTAAAAGCGAGGCAAATCCTCGATAGTAGAGGAATTCCTACTGTTGAGGTCGACCTTTACACCAATAAAGGCATGTTCCGTGCTTCTGCTCCCAGCGGTGCTTCCTCTGGAATGTAATCTCTCTCTCTGATTTTCTCATCCTCTTATTTTTTTTTTGGTAAGCCTTTTTCTTAGTGAGATTCTTTGAGGTAGAGTTTGTGTAATTTGGGATAAACACGGGTTCTAAAATGAACATTGAATGTGGCACTGCATTTAATGAAACAATGATCATATCGTTTTGGCCTGGGTGTGTTAGTACTCGAAATGGTGAGAAGGAAAAGCAGAGAGCAGTGCAGGAAGGACGAAGGAAAAGTTCTGTATATTCCTCAAAAAGATGATTGCATTGTACATAATGCCGTGGGTACATATATCCCTCCCGTGTAACAAACTAACCAACTCTGTACAATGGAAGCCAGCAAATAATAGAAAATGTATTTACAAATGAATAGAAAACAAGGAAACTAGTTAAATTACAAATCAGCCCTTTTCTATATTTGTGCTCAAATGTCTTGTAGTTTCTTGGAGAGAAGAACAACTTGTAGCTTGATTCTCTGTATTGTGTAATAGCCCCCCACAAGACGGAGAATAGAGGTTGACTATTTGCATCTTGGATAAATGTAAGTTAATGATGAAGGAGGGCAAAGCCTTTGTAAAAATATCAGCTAATTGGCAATGTGAGGCAACATGAGCTGTGATGATGCTGCCCTCTTGGATTTTGTCTCTGATTAAGTGACTATCTAACTCGATACGCTTGGTACGTTCGTGAAAGACCGGATTAGCAGCGATGTGGAGTGCGGCTTGGTTTTCACAATAAAGTAAGGCAGCCTGAGGATGTGGAACCTGAAGATCAAAAAGCACCTAAGCCAAGTGAGCTCAGAGCATGTGGAAGCCAAGGATCAATATTCGGCCTCGGCTGAGGAGCGGGACACCACAAATTGTTTCTTGGATTTTCAAGAAATAAGGGAATTGCCAAGAAATATGCAATACCTAGTAACGGAGCGACGTGTGTCAGGACACAAGGCCCAATCTGAATCACAATAGCCCTTAAGTTGAAGTGGAGATGAGGATGAGAGTAATATACCCAGTCCAGGTGTTGTCTTGATGTATCGAAGAGTTTTATGAGCTGCAGCCAAATGTGAAGTTGTGGGATGATCCATAAATTGGCTAAGGAGCTGGACAACATAAGATATGTCTAGCCGAGTGATTGTAAGATACAACAAATGGCCCATAAGTCTTCTATAAAGGCTCGGGTCTGGTAGTGGATCACCAGAAGATTTGCCGAGCTTAAAATTCTGCTCAAGGGGCAGTTGAAGTGGTTTGCCACTGAGGGTCCCTGTGTTAGTCAAGATGTCCAAAGCGTATTTTCTTTGATACAAATGAATACCTTTGGAAGACTTGGCAACTTCCAAACCAAGAAAATTGCGCAAGCATCCAAGATCTTTGATCTTAAATTGAGTGTGAAGAAAAGATTTAAGTGATGCAATGGAAGAAGGACAATTACCCGCCACAATAATATCATCTACGTAAACTAGTAAGGCAATGAAAGATGAGCCATCTAGTTTAGTAAAGAGACTGTAATCAGCTTTAGATTGTTTAAACCCAAAAGCAATGAGAGAAGAGGAAAATTTAGAATACCATTGTCGGGAGGCTTGTTTAAGTCCATAGAGGCTCTTGAGAATCTTGCATACTTGATTGGGTCCTCCTTTGTTATAACCCGGTGGTTTACGCATATAAATCTCCTCGTTCAAATCACTATGGAGAAATGCGTTGTGAATGTCAAATTGAAGAAGTGACCAGCCTTGTATTGCTGCAACAGATAATAAGACTCTGATAGTAACAAGTTTGGCGACTGGGAAAAAGTCTCCGTATAGTCTATACCTTCTTGTTGTGTGAACCCTTGTGCAACAAGCCTTGTTTTCAACCTTTCTATAGAACCATCAGCATGAAACTTAGTTTTGTAGACATATTTGCAATCAATTGCCTCTTTTCCAAGAGGTAAATTAGTGATAATCCAAGTTTGGTTCTGTTCTAAGGCAGACAATTTAGTGTTCATGGCTTGACACCAACCAGGGTGTTTGACAACTTGTTGATAAGTGGTAGGGTCAGAAGTAAAGGAAATGGAGGTGGAAAAAGCACTAAAAGAAGGAGAAAAATTCTGGTAAATTATAAAATTAGCTAAAGAGTAGGAATTACCAGTAGAGGAAGAAGAAGCCGTGGACAACAACTGAGAAGGGCCTGAACGTGGAGTCTGGTTGCAATGAAATTCCTATAGGTATTGTGGAGCTCTCCTTACCCTTTGTGACCTGCAAAGAGGTGGAGAAGCTGGTGTGGAAAGTGAGGAATTAGTAGTAGGAGAAAAAGTGAAAGAGTTATGTGATGGTGAAACATGTTGTTGAGATGAATCTGGTACAGGTATGGAGGGTGGGGTGGTGGGATGGTGAGGAGATGGACTAACTTGTGGAGAGGAAGAAATTGTGGAAAAAACAAGTGAGTTCGGTAAAGGTTTAGTAAAAATAAGGGTGGGGTTCGGAGAAGGAGTGGATGAGAGATGAGGGATGAGGGATGAGGGATGAGGGATGAGGGATGAGGGATGAGGGATGAGGGATGAGGTAAAGATTGAAATGGAAAGATGGACTCGTGAAAAAGCACATCCCGAGAGACAAAGGTGTTTTTGGACTCAAGATCAAGCAATTTATAACCTTTAGTTCCAAAAGGATATCCAAGAAAAATGCACATGCGGCCTCGAGGATCAAATTTTGTTCTTCCTTGTGAAAAGTGGTAGTAAAGCAAAGAGACCCAAAAACTTTTAAATGAGCATAAGTGGATGGAGATTTAAATAAAAGTTCAAAGAGTGTTTTGTTTTGAAGAAGGGGACTAGGGGTCCTATTGATGAGGTATGTGGCGGTAAAAACACAATCATTCCAATATTCAAGGGGAAGACCAACTTGGAATTTTAAAGCACGAGCCACATTAAACAAATGTTGGTGTTTCCTCTCCACAACTCCATTTTGTTGTGAAGTGGCAACACAACTTGTTGATGTAGGATCCCTTTTTTATAAAAAACTCTTTCATTTTAAATTCTTTACCATTATCACTTCTTAGAATTTTGATGGTAAGGTTGAATTGATTTTCAATCATATTGGTAAAAGACTCAATGCTGGTTCGGGTGGCAGCTTTGTTAGGAAGGAGATACAACCATGTACTCTTAGTGAAGTCATCAACTAAAGTTAAAAAATATTTTGAGCCATCATAAGCAGGAACAGAACAGGGTCCCCAAAGATGCGCAAATGGTATTGATGTCTTTTGTTTGCTATGAGGGAAACGAAGTCTATGAAATTTTGCCAGTGGACAAATGTAACAAGGCTTTGTATTAGTAGTTGAAATGCTTTTCTTTACAATAGGATCTGTTATCATATTCAGAACAAGAAAAGAAAGGTGGCCTAGGCGACAGTGCCATAGGTCAGTAATATTTTCAGTGTGTGAAACAGAAGCTGTAGCAGACTTTGTAACTGTGAAAAAGTGAGAAAGAGTGGTCACTAGGTTAGAGAGAGAGAGACAATCGTGTTGAGCATGTGATATAAACCATTCTTCACTTCACCCTTCCCAATCGTTGTCCAAGATAAAAGGTTCTGAATAAGGCAAAAAATCAGAGAAAAAAACTAGACAACAAGTGAGATCGATAGCCAACTTCTTGACTGAAATTAAATTAAAACTAAAGGAAGGAACACACAAGACTTTGGTGAGGTGAAGTGAAGGTGTTAAGTGAACTGTGCCCGTGTGTGTAACAGGTACATTTGCGCCATTTGGTAACTTAACAGAGTGAGAAGCAGGAGAATTAATAGTGGTAAAAAAAGAGGTACAATAGATCATATGGTTAGTCGCACCAGTGTCAATTATCTAAGAAAATTTCTTGTGGGAATGAATGATTGTGTGTGCAGGTGGATAAACAATTTGAAATACCAAAAATGTGAGGAGTTGAGTTAGGAGGAATGATTGATTGAATCTGGTTAGCAGAGGACTGAGCAATGGTGGAGGCTGCTGCCGTGGTTGGAGTAATGCCATTAATTGGTGATATTGTGCTTGAGTAAGACCTATTTGACCATCATTGGAATCCTCAGGGTCAAAGTCAATAGGAGCAGTTTGAGTAGTAAAAGTATTTGATCCCTAAGATTTTTTGAAAGTTTGTGTTCGGGAGGGTAGCCATAGAGCTTCTAACACTTCTCCATTGTATGTCCAGACATGTTGCAATGAGAACAAATAGGGGCCTCAGTGTTACCAACCTTAAAACAAGTTTCAAAAGAGTGTCCTGTGATCTTGCAATGAGAACAGTAGGCTCGGTCTTTCTTTGATTTTTGTTGAGATAGATTACGGGTAGGAAATGGGTATGGTTTGAGAATGGCAAAGGCCATGGAGCCAGATGGGTTTCAAGTGGGGGTCATTTGATAGTGGCGTTCCTGCTGTTGAATGAGAGAAAAGACTTTTGTGATGGGTGGGAGGGGATCTAGGAGCATTATTTGGTCTTGAACTGGGGAATATGTGTTGTTTAAATCCATCAAAAATTGAAAGACAGTCCCGTTGGTATTGGAGAGAGTTTTCATCGATCTACAAGAGCAAACTAAAATGGGGTCATAAATAAGTAACTCATCTCAAAAAGATTTAAGCCTTCTGTAATATACACTTACAGTGTCAGAGTCTTGTTGAAGGCTAACAAGGGTCTTCTTAAGCTGGTAAATACGAGGTCCATTTTGATGGGAGAAATGGTCTTGAAGATCGAGCCAAAGGTCACAGCATTGTCTACGAAAGCAACGTTAGATCTGATGGAGGGGCTTATGTATTTTGGCACAGAGAGCTCGTCTCATCGCACGGGTCCAACTGGGGCAGTTGTCGCTGGTAAGCAAGTCGGTGACCAGAACGACGACAGGGTTGTCGTCTTTGTCCAGTCGAAATGGTTTGCTAGGGTCGGTGAGGTTCCGGTATTTGGCCATGTTTGTGCACGGAAGGTGTTTGATATTTGGTCTGAATGAGCAGAGAAAGTTTTGGGATTGTTGGAGGAAGAACTGTCCGAACTTCGAAATCCT